AAGTACTTTTCCCAAAGTTGTAACTTCGCGTAGTTTAATTTTTAGTTAGACATGCAACGAAAAAGATATCTACAAACATTCGGAAATAGCTCGGATCTAGTCTTTATTGTTTCAGGGACATTGTTAACATGAAAACTGCAACAGTAAAAAAATATCGGCCAAGTGCCATTCGGACTCGCGCAGGAACGGTTCCATTATCTATAAAAAAAGGCAAAAAAATGTCCGTTGAAGGGGAACAGAAATACATCATCTGTGAAAATTTCTGCTGTCTAATTATCACGGTTGATGAGATACAGCCTGGCGCCAGACGGACAGACGACAGACAGCTAAGTCTTAGCAATAGGGTCCCATTTTACCCTTTGGGAACGGGACCCTAATAACTAATATGTTAACGCTACGAGCATGCGAGTGTAATATGAACTTTAATAAATGTTAAGTGGTAAGGCCACGCAACACTGTTGCACGAATAGGCAGGTCCGTCCGGGTAAGTACCACGACCTCACAGAAGACCGGCGTAAAGTAGAATTGTTACACTTCTGTATTTCGTATGGTGAGCGAGGTAGCCGGGGCCCACTTTATTTAAAGGTGGCAACGCATTTGCAACCCTACGGGTGTTGCAAATGTCCATGGGCGGCGGTTATCACTTAACATCAGGTGAACCGGAAGCTCGTTTGTCACTTTATAAAAAAGACTTTAAAAAAAAGTTAATTTTTCCAATGTGACGATCCCAATTTCGAACGATCAAATCTGTGATTATCCTTATATATAGATATAAGGTTTAAAATTTTTAATAATGTTATTTATTTTTATTATTTATTAAAATTATTTTTAATTAATTGCAAATACCTAGTAGTAGTATCTATATTTATTTATTATGTATGCGAGGCAATCTACTAAAAACTTTTTGTAGTCCTTTTGGAAACCTCTCCTACGTGTTGAAATATTTTCAATTCGGAATGTATGCCACTGCAATTTAGTACAAGAATTGAAACCAATGTATTAAAACGGAAATTTAATGATACAAATAAAATTTACTAATTTTCAAGTTAAATTATAACTAGGCGAAATGAAGCCTTTTTTTACCTTTTAATTTTTTAACATTCTCGTTGCAAATGCTGTATTTAAAAGCACTCCTCATCATAGTCATATCAGCCGTAGGACGTCCACTGGTGAACATAGGCCACCCCCTAGCTTGGATCAAACGACTCCCTGCAATCTTTACGAGGTCGTCCTTGTAAGAGGTCTACCTACGCTGCACTTGCTTTCACGTGGTCATCACTCAAGAACCTTTCTGCCCCAACAGTTGAGAGTCTGCTATATCGGTAACCCTAGTTCGTCTGCGGATCTCCCCATTTCTCATTCGATCTCGTAGAGAAACCCCAAGCATTACCCTTCCCATAGCTCGCTGTGCGACTCCGAGCTTCTTATAAAGCCCATAGTGAGAGACCACGTCTCGACACTGCAGCTCACCGCTGGTAGGACGCTCCAAAAACTCAAATGATGAAAATTTAAAGAGTATAATATGGAGCTAATATTACAAGCTTTGTTCTATAGAAACATGAAAACTGCAACAGTAAAAACTGTACAAAAAACCGCCTGTATCTTCCATAATTTTTTTCTTAAAACCGTCTAATCTCAGTACGCTTGTAGATAATTATATTGTGAGCATCCTGTCACTAAGGTTCGTAATGAAATGCAATTACCTGACTTGCAGAATGGAAAGCTTTTGTTAATTACAAAGTTACGTTAAGTTATTCAATTTCGTGATGGAATGAATGTGCCAATTTATCTTTGTAAAATAAAGAGTTCGTTTTAAATTTACACGATGACACACTGAACATTTTACAATGGGTGAGTGATGAAAAACAAGATTGATAGCGGTCGGTCAAAGTTGAAAGTATGATTGATTCGATGTATAAAAAACACATTCAGAAGTACTACGGAGTACTATGGAGCAGGATATAGGTTTTGATATTTATATGTTGCATGATATTTTCAATGAAGCAATGAAGTTCCGTACAGGAATTGATGCTAAGAATTATTAGAAATTTTGTAGCACCCTGATAAGTACATATTTTAAAACGATTATCCTAGAAAAAAAAAAAGTGAATAAATAAATTACAGCTTCTTTTTTTAAATTTATTATTTTTTCATTCGTACAAAGGAAATCCAATTTTAGGAAATTGGGTATTCACTACAGTTATCTACCCATACGTCGCAATTCCTTAAAATATATTTGTAGGCAGACAACGTGTCTACGAATCGGGTACACGTTTGCTACAAACTTGTACCCGATACGTACACATTATAATTAAAAAAAAAAACGTTGTCACAATAGCATTTCTAAATAATAAAATATAAAAATGTATAAAAATGTAAGTTACTGAATTTATTTTTTAAACAGACGTGCCGTGTTAGCTCGTGGGGACATAGGTACCTTTGAAAAAAAAAACATAACACCATAAAATTGACGAATGACTCTAAAATTTTCAGACTCTAAATTATTCAGTCACAAATCGATATTATAATGGATAGCGAACTGAGATTTAATTTTCATATTAATCAAATCATAACCGAAGCTAACGAATCCTTAGGCTTTATTTTGAGATTGTTCGGTTGCGTAACTCCGGCTCGAAGGACCATGAAGAAGTTTTGTACAGCGAGAGATTTTATAAATATTCTGGTAAATGGTTTATTAACACTTATATATATATATTGGTATGGTAATTGGTATAAAATGTATAAAGAATACGCGGTATAAATAAATGGTATATGGTATTGATTGGACGGTGGCGAGTCGCGTACTGTCTTAAATTAGGCATGAAACGTACATATGTACGTTAGTGTAATGTGCCTATGATGTACAAAGTGGCAATGTCACTGTTCGGTTGCGTAACTCCAAACAGAGATGTTCAAAAGATTTTAAGAAAACAGCAACCGCTATCTTGCTTTACAACTGTTACGTGAGAAGTAAACTTGAGTACTGTAGCACAGTTTGGTACCCAACTTCAACGATCCATACAAACCGCATTGAAAAGGTACAAAAAATCTAGTTCACTTTTTAACATACACAGTTTGCATGCTCCAAGATCTCTGAAAACGTACTGTGACAAATAAAAACTTTTTAATATCGAAATGCTATCGACACGCCGAGCTCACTTAAACTTATTATTCCTGCACAAGCTTATGAATAATAATATAGATTGTCCTCCGTTGTTGAGCAAATTTCAAGATAATATTCCTCGCAAGATACCACGAACATCATGTGACGTATTTAATAAAAAACTGTGCAGGACAAATTTAGGGCGTGATTCTTCTGTGGTCCGCATATCAAAACGGTCTTTACAATGAACAAGCTAAACAAACACCTGATCTAGACACATTTCGACAGTCTCACAAGCTACAGAACTAAATTAAAAAACGTTAACTATTATTTATATAATTATTTGTTTATGCACAAAATTTTCAGAACTTACGCTATGTCAGTTTGCTTTTATATAAAAAGTTTCTAAATGTTATTAGTTTAATTTGTTTTTTAAGTTTTTTTTTTTACTATCCATTGCACTTTTTTTATCCTTCTTATCTTTGTTAAAGCATGATGTGATTACCTCTGCTAGTAAGAAAAGTTACGTAGATTCATAGCATTTTATTTTTAGATTGTAGATGCTGTATCTTAAGTTGGTAATCCTATGAATAAATAAATAAATAAATAAATTTATCACCGGCTCGATATCATATTCATTTTTGTTTTAGTTATTCATTACTATACAGCGTGTCGTTACCATCGCGACGATAAATAAACACACGTCTAACGCTACTTGCCAATAATCATAAAAAAATATTAACGTTAAACAAAATCCATAATTAAAAAAAAATATTTTTCAAACAAACTAATTAAGTAAAAAAGAAACAAAATTTGTAACATCCTATACAACTCGCGCCACAGCGTCGTATTATAAGCCTCTCCTTCTAACAATATGTTTTGTTTTTTTTAAATTCATTAAACCCATTCATATGCTTTGTGACCTTTATAAATGAACTTTACGTTACGCTTTTATAGGTAAGGATGTTTTAAAATTATTTGTTTTGGAAAATTTAATAACTCTGTAAATATTGATGTTTAAAGAATTTAAATGTTTAATACAACATTAAAAAGTTATCCCTATATGTGTGTTCATTTATTGTCGCGATGGTAACGACACGCTGTATAATAATGAAGATGGGCATAAAGTATTTTTATTATTATTGCTTTATACCTTATATTACCCTACTGCGGATGAGCAGACTTCAGATGTCTCTTGGTAAAAAACTGTGGTAGAGCCTCGCAACTGTCTCTTTCGTTGTTGCACGAATTGGAAGGTCCGTCCAGGTAAGTACCACGACCTCACAGAAGAACAGCGTGAAGTGGAAGTATTATACTTCCGCGTTTCGTCTGGTTAACGAGGTCACTTTATTAAAAGGTTTGCAACCCTTCGGGTGTTGCAAATGTCAATGGGCGTGGTTATCAATTAATAACTCAAGCTCCCATTAACCTAGACAAAGAGGTACGACGCAGTTAAAAGGTAGTTTGTGCACGTCAAGGTTATACCGTGTAAGTTGCATGTGGTTGAGGGGTAGGTAACAATTTTCCTTTTCCATCCCTAAAAGTTCATAAACAAGCCATTAAATCAGCCAATAAGGTAGTGTGATAAATAGAAACCACCAAAAGTAGCTTAAAATAATAATGAAGTAAATCAAACCTTAATAATGAATCCTACTCCTTTATTCGATTAACTTAAATAAATTATTACATGTAATAATTAACAAACAACCTCTAAAGCAATAATGACAGTCTGTATAGTAAAACACATTTTTATACGTAATAAATCATATGCTAGATAAACCTACTTCCAAAGCCATTTATTTTAGACATGTCAAGACATAAATACTGATTCTATACCTATTCTATTACAAAGAAGTTAAATAACCTATATATAATTATACTACAATAAAACTTATTAAGATTCCGATATGCTTTCCAATTCTATGACATGTATATGCTTTTTTCCTTTATGGATTCCATCAAATTCATTCTGTATGTCTAGTAATGTCTTGTCTTTTGTTTCAGGCACGAAAAAGTACACGAAGATCGCGCCTATTAACGAAGTGACGGCAAAATGCCACAGCGCCCACCCAGGGTGCACTAAATCCACTAGATTCTGGTAGAGCTTGGTAACGCCAAAGGCTAGGAACCAGTGAAAACCGGCGGTTATAGCAGTAGCGCGTCTAGTAACATTAGGTGGGAAGATTTCTCGTAACATCAACCATGGGATCGGTCCAACACCCGCTGCGTAGACACTGACGAAAGTGCACAGCGTTAATAGTGGCACCCAAGTACTATTGGCCGACAAGTTAGAAGCCTTCAAATGGTAGTAGATACCCAAGCTGCCTAAACTAAATGCCATGAGCATGAAAGACAGCAACAGCAGAACCCGTCTCCTGACTTTTTTCAGGAGCATGGTCGAGAAATATGTCGACGATACTAGACAGAAGCCCAGGATTATCGACGCGCCGGGCAACATAGACGAAACGGAAAAGGTTTTGAAAATTTTCTCCGCGTAGAACAGTACTGGGTATATCCCGCTCACTTGTTGGAATATCATTAATCCGAAAGAGACGATCAAGGCTTTCACAGTGGTTCGAGTGGTAAACAATTCTTTAAAGGTCACTCTGTTCTTTCCATAGTTGAGAACGTGCTCTTTTAATGCCTTGATTTCGGAATTGACATCGTTGTCGATACCTCGGAAATATCTTAACGCGGCTTTCGCTTCGATGTATTTTCCTTGTGACATTAAGTAAGCAGGTGACTCAGGAAGGAATATGAATGCCACGAAGTAAGCCACTGGCACGCTCGCGCACAACGCGCACAGCCATGATGTATTAATTACTAAACCTGAAAAAAAAAAATACATTTCTTAGTCTTTTTGTGAAAAAAATAGAGAATTGCATTTGAATTTTGGGTATAGCAACGTTGAACCAAAAACTACGATCGTAGTCAGAGTTAGATCAGAAAAAACCTTTAGTGATTATTTTATTTGGTGCTTGAACCTCATTAGAAATCGTTAAGTTTTTTTTTTTAATTTACTGGATAATTTTCACTTATACTAACATCAATCAATTCTAAACAGGTAGTCGACAAAAATCTCGTACATAACAGTGGCATTAGCTATAAATTGGTGATCGGATAACGACGGATACTTATTAAGCTAAGTAGAGCAAATTTTTATCTTGCACTAAAATTGTGCCCTATGCTACCTATTATAATATAAACATTACTAAGCTAGTATTTATGAAAAGAAATAAGGCACAATTATCTTAAAATATGTAAAGTAATATCAACACAGTAATATCGACCCGATTGGTGTTATATATATATTGTTTCTGTCTAGAGGTGAGTGCGATTCCGACTACTGGAAAAATATTATATGATGAACTGCTGAATGATAATGATAATTTTCTAGTGTATCGGTGTTTATATCTAGTACCAAACAAAAACCAAGCTTAAGTTTGCTTGTGTGTATATGTCCTGAAGTATTTATTTATTTCTTATTTAATAATAATAGTTATTTTCAATTTTGGCGTTACACCAATATTTTTTTACATATTAGTAACTTGACCTATATCATTACGTTTAGATACGGTTACACTTAATTAGCAATTTGATTTAAGTGCAGAACTATCAGGTAATCAGCGGTGAAGGAAAACATCGTGAGGAAACCTGCATATTTTCGAAATAATGCCAAAAAATATTTCGAAAATGTGAAGTCCGCCAATCTGCAGTGGTGTCGCTTGGTGGACTATGCCCTGATACTCTCCTTACAGAGGAGGCTTTTGCACTTAAAATATCGTTCTTTAGCTGAACGGAAGTAAAGAACTTCCTAAGTACAAACCGAATAACTCTGAAGTAAATGATTGCAACAAAATTTTTAAAATTGTGCAAATATTATTTACCGCTGATGACGTAACCGAAGAGGACTCCGCAAGAGATATGAACGTGGTAGAAGTTAGCCAGCGTCGGCAGCATATGTTTTTCGGCAATGTCCTCTATATACGGTGGTATTCCCACGCTGAAGGCACCTACAGCCACGCCACCAACAAACCGTCCCACATAAAGTCCGTAGACATTAGGACTGAAAGGAAAGTAATTTTAACAGATTTAAAAAGAAGAAAAAGTTGTAGGTCATAAAAGAGAAACTGATACTGAAGCGAGGTTATATATTGATATACTGATTTGATCATTGATATAAACTTTTAGTTCGCATCAACTGACCTGGAGGCAACCAAGATCCATGACACTAAAAGCGGCAGTGCCAAATACAGTAGGGTTTTCTTCCTGCCGAAATTCTCTGATATTAAACCAGTTGGGACCGCCCCCCAAACTGCTCCGAGGCAAAGAAGTGACGCCACCCAAGACGCCTCCGTTGTCGTCAGCTGTGGATAGATATTTTCTTGACTGAATTGTGGATGCTGTGTCCAAATCTATTGGGCATTTGAAATGTGGTTTAAAGCTATCTCTTTATCCCATGTAATTTTTAATTGGTATTTTGAGTCAAGAAACAGATCATTAAAGTTTTAAGGTAACAGGTTAATTAACGATTAATACATAAATTATTGCTTTTAAATTGGCACCAAATTAGTGCGTTAACTTTACTTTCTTTTTCTTAATTAGATTTAAATCTCTATAATTGGCATCACGGTCTGAAATTAAAAGTTGGATCATTAAAATTCTAAAGTTCTGTACGTATAGGTTTAACTTTTGAAATTAATGAAGCTATCGGTACTTACCGCAAGTCTTGGGTGTATTTCGGTTTGATTGTTGCCAACAAATGCCTCGCGGTCCATTTGCATCTGTAACAATAAAAGTTTTTGTTAGCATTCGCAACAAAATACTTAAGTGTGTTTGTTATATCGGAAAATGCCTCTTATATCGGAATGTTAATGACATATGACATAATTAAAGCAAAAATGAAAATGGGCAGAACTTCAAGTAATTAAACGTAACTAAGGTATTCAGCTAGACTTTTTATCAACTTTTTGGATAAATGTATTCCAACTGAGATAAATAAATGTTTATGCACAAATGAACCGTGATAGAAACACATTTGCAAGTCATAAAAAAGGACTTATCTATTGGAATAGTTTGAAATAATTATTCATTTAGCACTGATTAGAAGCCACTGTAATGAACTATTCTTTTCGTATTCCTTCTATAATAAGACTACGAGTTATTAAGACTGCGAGATACTGCGAAGACAATGAATGTCCTCAGTTTATGAAGGAAGCGAACAACCAGCGTTAAAGGGGGCTTAATTTAATTAAATAAACTTTGCGACCAGTAACGACTCGGGGACTAGTTAAGATTCATCAACTTCCTAAGCAATGTACGCCTGCGGAATTTGCGTAATAGTTTTTAACGGCTGAACTAACGCGCGGTCGGGGGAACATTCAAACTAATGCCCCGGAATAGACTCGCCACAGAATTGTGATTCCAGTGTGTTCACTTGTAGCTTAAATTTAGATGACCGGAGTGTCGTTTTCCATTACGAAGTATTAGGAAGATGGTCTGGAAGTGGAACTTGAATAGTATCTTTATTTTGTATCTAATCTTCCCATCAAATGAGTTTCCATCTCTTAACGCTAAATTTTAGTCCGTCGTCTTACTATTGTATGTCGCGGTGAGACCATGTCATTAGTGTCGTCTTCATCAGCCGGAAAAATTCCACAGCTGAACAAGGACCTCCCCCTTAAAACGCCCCTTTGTGCATTCACCAAGTGGGAGGCCTTCCGTGGTCGCCACTCGAAAACTTTTAACCCGTATCGGTCAGATGCCATAAAAGAAATTTTATTTCTTAAATCATGGCCGAGGGGTAAAAGTGAATGTGAAGAAGGCATAACATTTGCAGACGTTATCACGTGAGCGTGTTAGACGCGCGTTAGTCGAGTCGGCTCGTTGAGGCCGTCTTAAAGGCAAAGCTATTTATCGAGCCACCTATGAAAACATTGTATATAGAACCAACAAAGCTTTGTTGAAGTGAGTGAAACTTTCACAGAGAATAGGGAAGCACATAGAACAAATTGCATCGAATTCTTTTCATTATGAATATTCATTGCATGAAAACTGGTACATAACAATCATCTCTGAGTGAGCTTGTAAACATGATATTTAGGTTTACCTCAGTTGAACTGACAGTCATTGATTGCAAGGCGGCGGATGACCACGCTATGCAGACACCAGCAGCAAAAGCTCCAAGATTCACTGGAACAGACGTAAACTTATTAAAAAAAAAAACCAAAATCAATACCAAGAGAAAATAAAATGAGGTAAAGAAGAATTGAGAAAGGAGAAGAAAAAAAAAAGACTTGGCCAAAAACGTATAAAAATATCAAGTATATAAGAAAACATACAAGAACAGTGTTAATAAAAATGATATATGTATAAAAATGTGCATATTGTATAATAGCGCTGGAATATGAGTAACATAAGCAAAAAGTTTTTATTGCGAGTAAAAATTCAGAATAAATAGAATCACTTCCAATAATTATCCTATAAACAGTTAACTGACTCTAAAACACGTCCATATATCAATTGCTGGTATTAAAACTTATTTTCACTTTTAGTTATGATTTTTTTTTACTCTGAGGTCTCACTTTCCAAGGTTTAATCTCATATAGATTTTACTTTTGAACATTTATTGATTACCGAGAGTATGTAAATTTTGGACAATATTTGATGAAACAAATTTGGATATCAAATTTATACATTTAGGTACTACATCATAAATATATGGAGAATATGTTATGTTGTGTTTATATGGAGAATCCTTGAATAGATCTTTATATATATATATATTTTACTGGTTTTTCTCAGAGTTGAGACAATTGTCCAAGTCAGTGGCATAGAAGAAAATACTATGACGTTCAACGAGCAATATGTAAATCGTATGTGCCTAGTAAAGCATCCAAATCCCCAACATGGTTTTAATAAGTCTCATTTAAATATATTGTACGAATAATTGGAGTACGCATTTTGCTGTTTTCTTTTTTACTGCCGGCCAGTTTGTACTGAGACGTGACTACTGGCCGAAGCTCAAGGTCACTCTGTGGGCTATGGAGCGGGCTGTGCTCGATATTCTTATAGAATCAGATATTCGCAGAAGAACCAAGGTAACAGACATAGTTCAGAAGATTAGTGAAGAAAGCTGAAGTGGCAATAATTCGGCCATGTAACTCGTAGAATATATTAAGCGATGGAAAAGAAAGGTTTTCGAGAGGGAGACACTAAATGGAGAGACGGCTTGTGAAAAATGTGGTGGAATTCGATGGTGAAGGTAGCTCAGGATTTCTTCGTGATAATAATATAATAAGATTAAAATTAAATAATTCCATATGGATGAAATGACGAATAATACAATTATTAGAACAAAATGTTTCTGTACCTATTTACTAGCAAATAAGGAATTTTTTGACGCGCTCAGCGGTGAAGGAAAACATCGTGAGGAAACCTACATGCTTTTAAAAGAATATTTCTTTTATTAAGGTATGTGAAGTTTGCCAATCCGAAACAATAGCAATATTTTGAATTCTTTGGCGCCTATAGAGTCCTATGGCAGGGCGGCGTTTTTTCTATATCGATTGCAAATGAATTGTGAGCTTGTATACCTTATGTAGTAAGAAAAACAATTAAAGACACAAAACCTATGCCAGCGGCGATGTACTGCGTGGTGATACCGGAGGTGTCCCGCTTGATGTCTGGGACTGTCTCAAGCCTCTGCAGCACCTTCCCGTTGCCGTTTCTGTTCTCCTGTGTTTCGGGGTCGACGTTGTTGTTGGTGCCCCCATTGCGGTTCTCTATCAGTGCTGAAGTCGGACTGGCTTCCATGTTTCCACCCGGCACAGCTGCTCCATCCGCTGCAATCCATACTAATATTATAGATTCGAAAGTAACTCTGTCTGTCTGTCTCAATTTCATTTTTTAATTTAATTTTACTCAACTATTTCAGTAAACTAAGTTAAAAAAAGGCCTATACATATCCCACCGCTGGGCAAAGGCCTCCTCTATACAGAGGTATCAGGGCATCGTCAACAACGCGGCCCCACACCGGTTTGTAGGACTACACATATCTTTGAAAGATTGTTTGTTATTATTTCGAAAATATGCGGAAACCTGCACGGTGTTTCGTTTACCGCTAAAAGTGTTTATTTTTTTTAAAAATATCTTAATTTCGGCAAAGGTCATCGTCATTCTTATTTAGGATTTTCACCATTCTGAAGGCGATATCACATGTATTCGTAAACATGATAGTCTGATATCTCTTATTGGGTGTATATGTAAACACAGATATTTATTACTTATTAGGTAGCAATAAAGAGATAGCTAATTTAATTACTTAAATTTTCTCTCGCTATAATGTAAATATAGTTATAATATATCTCTGTACGTTCATATTAAGGAGTTTATCAATGATTATGAATGTAATGGAACTTTTTAGAGCATTTGTTATAATCTTTTGAAAAGTAGCAAGAATTTGCGAAAAATTCGTGAAATAATAAGCGGTTGCATTTTATTTAGACTTTCATACCGTTTACACGAACGTATTTTCAAAGATATGTATTGTCTAATAATTTGAAAAAAGTTAAAAGATAAAATAGATTCGTTATCTGTGAATGACAGACCTCATAACCATTTTTAGGGTTCCGTACCCAAAGGGTAGAACGGGATCCTAGTACTAAGACTCCGCTGTCAGTCTGTCTGTCTGTACGTCTGTCACCAAGCTGTATCTCATGAACCGTAATAGTTAGGCAATTGAAATTTCATCACAGATGATGTAAATACATCGTTGCCGCTATAACAACAAGTACTACAAAACAAAATAAAACAAAAATGGTACGGAACCCTTCGACACTCCGACTCCCACTTGGCCGATTTATAACTCCCATTTCTTCGTGTTTGTTTAATGATTCAGATAAATAAAAAAAAATCACTTACATAATGCTTTGTATTTTTAGGTTGTATAGCTATTGCTAAGTAAATAGTAGAGATATAAGTTATGAGTGATATATATCTAAAAGATATAAATATTTTCATCACTTATTTGTTAAGTGTTGCTCATGAAAATATATTTTAGAGAAAATATATACGTACAACGTATTTATATAAAAAATCAAATAATCTAGCTTATGAAAGTTTGATTAAAAAAGTTAATTTGTATAATACTTAATCAAAAAACTAAATACTAAAAGTTTGTTGATTTAAAAAACATACTTTAAAATTAATTACAAAGTAAAAATCACGAACCATGGAAATACTGATGAATTTGCGTAAAAAAGTGCTTGAAATAAACGTATATATTCATCACCGTAAATAATACATCAGTTAAATTCATCATTATTCAAATAAAGATTCTACTCATGTGCTGTCTCGATACCTTACATATTAATATTTACGTTTTACACATTTTATTTTGATTTTTATTTTATATATTTTCGGAAAACTTATAGGACTAGGACAAAAATGATGTGATCAATTTAACAAATTTATGCCCAATTAAAAGTTTTTATAACAAACATTTTATTACAATCAAATCTGTTCAAAAGTAACGATATTGTTTACAAATCAATTGTATTACAATGTCATCCCAATATTGAAAAAGGGGAATGTGTTTATTTATATAAAATTTTAAAGATTAAATCTGTCTTAAATAAAATTGGAATATTTGATAAATAACATAATGAGTAAGAAATCATTGCACATGCTTTATTCTAATTAGCAACAGTTGTGTTAAGAATGTCAAATACCTGTATTCATTTGTGTTGTGATTTATCCAAGGGCGAATGCTTGACTGGGAGCTGGTAGTCAGGTGAAGATTTTTGTGGTCTTAATTATAGTCGTGTAATACACATGTTATAAATGTAACGGAATCTCCAACGATGGGTGGGTAACTGGCGGAACAATCTCGATAAGCTCCGGGAGCAGAAAATAATGTTCCAGGGCTGCCCAACCGTTTGACAGTCTGAGTAAAGAGTTTAATTAATCAATAAATAGTCATTAAAATGGTAAAGCATCAGCCTATACATGTCCCACTGCTGGGCAAAGGCCTTCTCTGTATGTTAGGTATTAGGGCATAGTCGACGCGACGTATAAATTGGCTGGCTTCACATATATTCGAAAGTTATTTTACAAGCTCAAAATTGTATGTTAATAATTCATCAACAATTTGTTAGTACGTGGTATTGTGGGTGTATGAATCAGTAAAGACAAAGCAAAATTATAGTATGGATAAGACTTCGATTAAACTGCTAGTAGCTTTTTTTTGTAGAAAAAAGTACGAAAAGTTTTTCAAATTGAACATAATTTCAAATTGTTTGTATGCTGGAAAGGATACAACAATGGATGCGCCAACCATTACTTCAAATGCCAAAAAAAAACAATGTTGACGTTTTCGTTGGTGTGTCAGTCAGCCGTTTAACTCAGTGGCTAAAGCGTCAGGGCGCGAATTCCGAAGACGTGCGTTCGATTCCCACAGCGGCGAAAATCTTTTCGTACTTCTCTACAAAAAAAAATTAATGTTTAATCTCAAGTGCAGAGATAAGCACTATAAAAAACTTAAAAAAATGCTTTCTTTTTATGTGATAAGTTGAAAAACGAGCAGACGGGTCACTTGATGTTAAGTGAATACCGCCGCCCATGGACATATGCTACACCCGAGGGTTACAGATGCGTTGACAACCTTTTGAAAATTGGGCTCCGGCTACCTCACTCACCAGACGAAACGCGAAAGTATTTGTCATACTTCCATTTTACGCTGGTCCTCTGTGAGGTCGTGGTACTTACCCGGACGGGCCTGCCCGTTCGTGCAACAGCCGAGGCTGCTGCGTGGCCCTACTACAGTAGAGTTATTATAATTAAAATTACAGTTAGGATGAAGTAGAAGTGATGTGGCGTTTATCGAAAATCTTTCAACTCACCTTTAGACCAAGTTTAAACGCAGTTCAATTTAAAGGAAGCCTTGGCTTTGAGAATCACGGCTTTGTTTGTTCTAAGTAGAATACTTTGAACCAACAAAACCGTGATTCACTAAGCCAATTAATTACGCTTGTACAACAGAACTTATCAACTGTAATTAAGACGGCAAATCCTAATATCCAAGTTCGAATCGGGTGAGGTCTCGTTGAATATTCATATTGCCGCGAGACAGGTTAAGTTCTACAATAATTAACTATGTAAATCCATTTTCAGCTAAACCCGCATATCAATCAATACGTTGCTAGTAAAGGGGCTTTGAATTGTTCGCAAACCGCGCTTATATACGGTAAGTTGTGATGGCTAGATGTAGAACCATTTTGGAAACTATATAAGTATAAATAGAATAAATTAGTATAAATAGAACGTATACATTGGATATAAATTACAATTCACTTCAAGCAACACTCCTGGATCTACATCTTATAACTTTTCTCGTAATAAGTATAATAAAATATTTTAACATATAAATGAAATTGTATATGTCCCTATAACTGTAACATTTTCTCTTGGAATGTAAGAACCGACGACAGTCATAATGTCAAAATCATGTCGGTTGCATTTAAATAGTTGAACAATTAACAATAAAATTAAACCAGAGATGTCGCCATTGTTTTTAGAAAGTTGTATTTTTTAAAGTGCTAATATATGCACTTAAGATTAAGTCGGGCCGCGAACGCCCCAGATGTGGTTCGATTCCCACAGCGTTCACAATCTTTTCGTATTTTTTCTACAAATTTTAATGTTTAATATTAAGTGCAGAGATTAGCACTATAAAAAAAATTAATTTAAAATAATTTAAAAAAACCGCTCATTTGTAGTGAACTGAAGATCCTATAACATGTGTGAAACATTCCAAAGACGTTTTTATAATGTTGTTAGAAGCACACAGAGGGGGAAGCTAAGTTTATCATATTTCGAACATCGAGTTTCGAGCGACCGCCACTTAACAAGCCCTGTTTACGATAACCTTGCAATCACGCCACCCCATACCCACTCATCTTAACACTAAACGCACATACAGACAAATCGATAATAGTGCGTGTAAGCGATGTACATATATTTTCACAATCGGCGTCTGCGAGATAAATTTGTTTGTCTACTCGGATCATAAGCGCAATATGACACTTGATATTGACAACACGACCCCGTGGCCCAGTCGGCTGTGTAGACGGTTTTCTGAGCACCAGATGAATACCGTACGTTGCTGATAGTTTGCGAAAGGAAAATGGCGGTTGCTGTTATGTTCACCGACGGACTTTAACAGCTCGAAATGACAAACGGTGCATATTCAAATAGAACGATTTTGCAACATTTTTTGTAGTATTTACCCAAATAAATACCGAAGATATTTTTTCTGTGTCCAATAAAAATCAAGATCCATTTGTGAACTCCCTGAAAACAATCTGTGTACTTTTACGTAGTTTAAGTATGACATTGTTCTTCAAGAATTTGTTAATCTTACTTCCTTACGAATATAAAAAATATTACTCTTTCACGCAAATACAACTGAATGGATTTTAATGAAACTTTAGGCTTACATAATTATTTCTTGTATTTACGCGATTACACATTATAAATGAAACTAATTTTACGGATTTATCGCGTTTATTTGTAGATCGCGTTGCATAGATCGGACACAAAATTAATAATACAAAAACTGACGGTAGCCCGGGTTAACTTTGACAATTAGACGTCTAACAACTCAGTCTGTCCCGTGACTATGAACGCTGTAAAGGGTTCGAAACGTCGGGAACTAAAATTAAAAATAAACGCGATAAATCCGTAAAATTAGTTTCATTTTTAAAACTTTAGGCTATAATTTATATACATATTTTTATGTATATCTGTCTATCTGTCTGAATGTTACGCCTTCTGCCTATTCTACGTAGACGTAGTCGCGGGCAGCTAGCAACAAATATAATTTGGCAACAAAAATCTTTCGAAAGTGACTCTTATAATTCAAAACGTCTCCGTCATCGTATTTATAAATAAAACGCCCGTTATGCGATTAGGAGATCATAAAATCGTTCAAATCTCACCAAAAAAAAAAAAACACTACGAGTACGTATCGCGCTACACGTCTTATCTCCAAATGCCTTGGGGCTTGACTATTTGACAACGGTGCATTAAAGATAAGTGGTTTTTTTTGTCGACTGTCCGAGCGATAAATCCCGTAATGTGCGTCGATTGCCCGCCCGGGACGCGTTGCGGCGACGCGATAACGCGGACTTAGGGGTAGGGGGTGGTTTGACGCTCGCCGGGCTAAAACCACTATACTCTAATCTGCGGTTCCTATACTAAACGAACGGCCGTTAGTTACATAGCTTCGTAACTTTCATAATTTATTAGACTTGTAAATAAAAGGCATGTACGCCCGGTTCCTAAATGGAAAGAAACAAGGTGTTTTTCTTACGAGCCGTTGCATTCACCCATTAACATTATGACAAATCATACTCATACTAATCAACATAGGTGTAGAAATCTCATTATGTGCACATATGCTCAAAAATATTAGAAATATCTTTAGTGTTTTTAATGCCACAGATAAAAAAATTACCACAGTGTGTACTGCAAGGAAACATAAACGTCAGGACACTGTCAAAACTACCAAATTTTTAGAGTTCACTATGATACTGACGATGTTTGGAAGAAAGATATTTTTCAATATCAATATCAGCCTATTGCCGTCCACTGCTGAATGTAAGCCTCCCCCAAAGTGCGCCAATTATCCCGGTCCTGGGCAGCCCGCATCCATCCGCTGTCCGCCACCTTTCTTAAGTCGTCAGTCCATCGTGCTGCAGGCCGTCCCACACTACGTTTCCCTAACCGTGGTGTCCACTCTAACACGTGTCGGCTCCAGCTGCCATCAGTGCGTCTGGAGACATGGCCAGCCCACTTCCACTTCATCGTGCTAATTCTGCGCGCAATGTCGGTAACTTTAGTTCTCTGGCGAATGACTTCGTTTCGTATCTTGTTTGCCAGAGAAACCCCAAGCATTGCGCGTTCCATCGCCCGCTGAGCGACCTTTAATTTTTGGACCAGCCCCATGGTGAGTGTCCACGTTTCGGCTCCGTAGGTAATTACTGGTAGCACGCACTGGTCAACACGTTGAACTTGAGGCATTGCGGTATTGACGACTCAAAAACATGTCGTAGCTTCCCGAATGTCGAAGATATTTTAAATTTTGATAAATTAGGAAACCATCATTTAAAATTACCATCATTGGGAGCATCATTTAAAATGTCTAAATGAAGTTTGTTTTCCTGATCCACTTAAATTAGCGAAAGTAAGCCCTATTTATAAATCAGGCTCTAAATCAGATCCTAGTAACTATAGGCCTATATCGGTATTACCAGGAATGTCCAAGGTCTTTGAAAAAATACTATACGAATTCTTGATTTCAACGGAATTCTTATTTAAAAAACAATACGGTTTCCGTCCTAAGTCTAATACACTTTCCGCAACCATAGATCTGGTAAACAATATAAGAACAAACATAGACCAAAAGAAAATTGCTTTAGGAATATTTATCGATCTAAAAAAGACCTTTGACACCGTAAGTCACGACATACTTTTACTGAAATTGAAAGATCTGGGGTCACAGGTAAAGCTTATGAGCTATTTAAGTCATATCTAACGAATAGACGACAAGTGGTTAAAATTAATAATACCCAAAGTAAACCTCAACTGATCACATGTGGAATTCCACAAGGATCAATTCTGGGGCCATTGCTGTTCCTTGTGTATGTAAATAATATTCATGAAATTGGTCTAACGAGTGT